AAATATTTTTCCATTTTTATTCCAAAGAAATGATTTTCATGTTTCACATTTTTTAAAATTATTTTCAAACCCCATAATGGCCTATGTGTACATATGTATGTATATATATTGTCTGCAATTCCATTAAAGCTATAATGAGTTGAAAAAGAATATAACAATACCATATTGCAAATAATAGTCCTATAAAAAGTATAAAGTAAGTACCTAATTACCAAAAATTAATTTTAATTAAATAAAGATTTTGAGTTCCAGCTTACATTACCAGTGATTTCTATTCTCATAAATTATTTAGTCTTCAAAATGTCGGCCAACAAAAATTGATACTTAAAATTATTTTATTTATTAATTTTGATATTTTAACACAACTGTTGCCTACTGTGTTTCTAAATTTTTAAACGTGAGGTTTTTAAATGTTTTATTTTCTTACTTTGGACAATTAAATTAATAAAATTTTGTATTTTCCTTTCAGCTTTAAAGAAATTTTTTCTTCTGTAATAATTTGAATGGATTTTTTAATTCTAATAATTGAAAATTTTTTTACTTATTTCTCGTTCCTTTGGTAATGGTACGTCTTTTGCTATAAAGTATACAAAGAAGAAGTAAAAGAAATTTTAAAGAAATGTGGGACAATCAACTTATGTTGCAAATTTATTGATTTTTCTTTTATTAAAGGTTTAAATTTCAAGAAAAAATCCTTGAAAAATTTTTCATGTTTTTATACTCTTTTTTTCTTAAATTTTGGAAAAACTAGTCAATTTTCAATATTAAAGCAATGTAAGAAAAGAAAAGAAATGAAAATTTTTTTAATAAAACTTTTGTAACATTATTTTTAGAATTTTTATAAGATTTAATAAAGTTTTATGTGTAGTACATTTTTTGTGGAAAAAAATAACACCATTAATTTTCAACACGTGAAACTTATTTCCAGACAACTTCTCATTTATCACAATGTATTCAATATTACTACATTCTACTTTGGGTTCGTGTTGCTATTCTGAATATTTTTAGATTTTGAACAAAAGCCTAACCTAACCCATACTAATTACTAACAATCTTATAAACATATTATGTAGCCTAATCGAACCCTACCCGATTCCAAATTCAATAAAACATTTGTGTATTTCAAAAATTCTCTATTTATACTAAAAAATTTAAAATTCAATACAAAAAAATTTTAATAAAAGAAAAGAAGTATTATTAATTTAGCTTTGTACTCGGGTTCCCAATCTTTATCTACGTTATGTATGTAATTTGTATTCTAAAATATTTAAAATTTTTTTTTTATAAAATGATGTCAACATAGATCAGTATAATAAGTCAGAAATCCTTTTTAAATCAAAATTATCCCATTAGAGAAAGGAAAATAATTAATAATATAATATTGAGGTATTCAGAATTGAAAGAAAATTATAAAAAGAATGTTATCAAATGGATGAAAATTTATTAATCTAGTCAATGGGATTTATAAACAATTTAACAAGGAAAAATCATTATTAAAAAGCTGGAGTCAATGAAACAAATTACATATTTTTAATTTCCAAAATGGACACAGGATAGCGGAATTTTTCCGGTAATTTTTAATTTTGAATTGAAACTCAATTTTTAAAAATTAATTTTATACAAAACTCAAAGCTGTTATTGTCCACTTGCTTAAATTATAGAGTTCTTGCAGGAAAAAATAATTTGCGAAACAAACCATTGGAAAGCCTAAAGCATATACATCCATCTATTACCGTAAATAAAGTATTTTTATAGAGATGCTTTAGACTGGCCCGCAAAATAATTTATATAACTATACTTTGTATAGTATAAAAGTAGTTGGGCCAAAATTATTACAAGCTAGAAAGTTTCATTAAACATTCTACACTATCCAGTTCACGTTCTTTAAATCAATGTATCCAATAAAGCTACAGAAGTTGAAAGACCTTTGAATTATTTACATTTTAAAATATTTAACCCTACCTCAGGCATTAACATTAACTTTATAATAATATTATTTATATAAATCTGTATAGTGTGAATCAGTACAAATCAGCTTCAAATTTAAGTATTCAATAAATTTTATGATTTTATTAAAATGAATTTTTTATTTAAATAAATTTCAACAAATATTTTAACATCATTATGTTGTAAAAATTTACAATAATTTTTGTTAGTAATAAATTTCAACTAAAATATCTTATGAAAGAAATCTTATAAAATTCTAATCACTTACATAAAAAAAGAATGTATAGAGAATATATAATATAGAAATTCAAATACATATTGTATAACAATTTTATTCAAAATCAGGATTCCTTTTTTATGAGTATTTGTTTTCATTTCTTCCAGCTATTTACTGTTATAAATTTTATTAAGTTCACATTATTTACATACAAAGGATGCCAAAACTACAGGAAAACGTTTATGTATAAATATATTAGGATGTTGGTATTGTGTATAACAGTTTACTATAGTAAGAATTTCAAAATACTTTCTGAAAATGTAGGAAAGATAAATATGTACTTATTTTCTCTTAAAAAATATGCTATCTATTAAAATCTTTATCTAAGAATTTTCTGCTGCGTGACAATATCAAAGATTTGGATAAATACGGAAATTAATTTACAATGCCCAATGCATGAATAATACTCTATTAAATATTCTGATTTCAAAACTGCTAGTGTTTCTTTTTAAAAAAATTTTATTACTCGCGTAAAACAGTTTGTAAATGGTGCCCTGCGTTGTACGAAAATATTGTTATAATATACATGATCTATTAATTATTTATACTCATAATTAGGAAAAAAAAATAATTGAATTCGATAATAGTTAAGACTCTAATCGGAGACTAAACACGAATCATATAAGCATTCACAAAATCTCTTTTAAGTAATCAAAGACATTATTCACTCCTAATAAAAATTTTACAAAAACTTAAACTTCTTATATAGGTAACTTCCATTCTACATACCTTCGCTTAACCTTACGTATAACAATAAAGAAATTACAAGTATTTCAATAAAACTTATAAAGCAATTTACTTAAATTGAATTTAAAATTGGAAAATTTATATTAAAAAAAAAAAAAATAAAATTAATTTAATAAAATAAAAATTTTATTTTTCTTTTGTTTTCCCCACAATTTTCTTTATTTACCACTTTCTTTTTTATTTTCCGGTCTCACTCTTTTTATTATATTATGCAACTTACCTTGATAAGAAGAAAAAAATATCACCATTATTATATTGTTATACTAATCTTGAATAAAATTTTTGACTTAAAGCATTTAATATTGATGGAGAAAAATGCTGTACCTTAAAAAATATGCAAGAATATAAGTGAGTTTTTTGTTTTTCTTTGTTTCCCTTCTTTCTTGAAGGTTATACTTTTGTATTTATGAGTATTTAATGTGCATCAGGTGGATATAACAGTAAATTTTATAATTCAAGTATTAGTAAAAGTAATAAAGTGTCAAAATTATTTTTGTGAGAAAATTAAATATCATTTTAAAGAAGAAAAATTTGAATTTCATATACACTGATTCGATCCTTTTTAGTCAAATCGAGGAACAAGAAAATTTATTTAAAATTTTAGAATTCGTTTGTAATATAGATGGTTGCACTTTGATAATAAATTTTCAATTAAAGTAAATTTTCTTTGAAAATAATTAATATATTACTTAACGTTCAAGTTATAGGAGTATTGTTTGTGTTGACAAAAATTGACACTGTTAAATTACAGTAGTATAATATAATATACTACTAATTATATAATATACATAAAATGTAGATGAAATCTGGATGTCAGAATTACTTAATACTTGCTCTGCCTAAGTGACATTTTCAATGTGGATGTTCAGGCCTCATGATACGCATATTCTTATATCTTCAAGTTTTTCTACTTCAGTAACATTTCCCGTCTTGTTATCACAACATTTTAAAATTTTTTTTTGCATTCAACAACTAAATATTCATTAACATTGGAAACTCATTCTAATATTTCAATAATCACCACCTAAATACTAGATAAATTTGGCCTTGAGTTCCAGAATGCAATATGTATTACGCTTTTTAAATTCTTTTACCTAAATCTTTAAAACTGATTATATGAATATGTATTTCGAAAATTTAAGTTTGTGTTAAATATACCAATTATTTTCATGTCCAATGCCGAGTTGAACTTAAAAATCATATTACTACAAAATGCAACCTCAAGCTGCCTAAAATTTAACACCATTATTGCACTGAATAAAAATATTTTTATTTTATACTCTATGCAAAATTTAATTTTTATAATACTATTTTCTTGTAAAAAATATCCTAAAGTTATTTTACAATAAAATTTTCTTTTACAAATTGTTGTTGAAATATATAATAATAGTATATGTAAATACTTGTTATATAATATTAAATTTGTTGCTTAGAATATTGTTTACAACAATAACGAAAATGATAAAAAAATAGAAAATTAATTTTATAAATGGAAATTTCTTGTTGGTACATACATTCATATAAAAAAAAAACAAAAACACATTATTAAGTTGAATGACTTTACAGACTCTTTCTTTTTAAAAATTCCAGATTTTGGAATGGAGTGAAATTTTAACTTGGATGTGATATAGAAATATTGGTAAACGATAGTAATTGTTTCCTGTGTACTTATCCCTCTAACAGTAGGACTTTTTTAATTATTACGATGTTTACATTTGATTAAAAGATCGGATAACATAATGAATTTACTGTAAATAGTTTAATATTGAAAATTACTTCAACCTTATTGAAAATTGTACCTAATACATAATTAATAACTTTCTAATTCATTACATATTTAGTTACTTGAATTTAAAAATATTAATTTGGAAGATTTAGTGTTGTAAATTTTTTAAATAATCTTAAATTTATGCTAGTTAAGTATACATTCTTATAATTCAAAAACTTAGAAACAAATATAAATAACTCCAATAAATTGGGAATGTTTTATTAAATTTATATACAAAGTTCAGGTATAATTCTCAATAATAATAAAAATTGGGCACTAAAATCGATTATAATTTTAATAATAATTGACTAAATATGTGTTTATCTACAACAAGATTAACTTTTTTTTTTACAAAATTCATTCTCTATTCTAAATTAAACATTAACAAAACAAAAAAAAAACTCAAATATAATTTTGGAATTATTTTTCTTATACAAAACGCTATGCAGGCATATTTTCTAATTTTAAACTAATTTGCCTGTTTTATACTCCATCCATTAAATTAAATGCTAACATAAATAAATTTCAGCTCCACTTTGAGGACATGTAGAAAATATCACTTCATCTAAATTCTTATTTTTAGCTTGTGGTAATTGACTGTAATATTTTTCTTTTAATTCTTGAATAAATCGTTGACATTGTTCAGGTGAATCACAAAGTGCAACAATACAACCACCCCATCTAATAATAAAGAAAAAGATATTAAGATTAATTTCAATAAATTTAATGGTAACAAAAGAAATAATTATGAATATAATATAAAATAGAAATTAGAATTTTAGAAAATAAAGTAATTTTAATTTTATTCATGATTCATTTAATTTAATGCACTCAATTTAAATAAAATATTCGGAAATTACAATTAATTTTTGATAGATTTACGTACAATTAAAATAATGATTTTATATCTAGAATCAAATTAAAAGTGAATTTGTAAAAAAAGTGAAATAAATGTATTCTTCCGAAATTTGGAAATGGTTTTGGATATTAATTTCTGAAATGCAATTCTGATATGAATTTTTTTTTTTGGAACAAGATGAATGAATTCGGTATTGTTTCAGTAAAAACAAAGCACAGTGCCTCATTTCTTGCTCTTAATATTCATATTTCAGAATTCTTTGTAGTAAATGAGAAAATATTATAAATCGGTTTTTTTACAGAACTTACCCAGCTCCAGTTAATCTTGCTCCAGTAACACCAACTTCTTCTGATAATTCAACTAATTTATTTAAATTTGTGTGTGAACATTCATAAAGATGTCGCAAACTATTATGAGATCCTTTCATTAATTGGGATAGCATATCAATACTGAGACTGTCACTCTCACATAAATTTCTGAATTTGTTAACACGAATTGATTCTAAAAATAGAAAAAAAAGGTTATTTTGTTTTAATTTATTGATCTCTAATAAATGCTTTAAAAAAGTAATCAAAAATCTAGCAAAAACTGTGTTATATAATTTGGCGGTATTTCCTAACATAATAAATATAATCAAATATAGTTTACAGGTTGTCAATAATCTATATTACTATTTGGAAACTAAGGTTGATGATTTACAACCTGATTAAATTATAATTTAAATGGGGTTTTCTTCTTTAAAAAAAAATTATTAATACAAATTAAATTGAGCAACAATGAATGGTAAGTGTAATTGAATTATGGTGCAGGTTCCAAAGATTTACAAAATTTTTTTATGAGAATCAAATGCTTTATTAACTTATACTTAGATTTCAATTTAAAAATCATGTAATTTGAAATAAAGGCAATAATATTCAATCCAAATCCAAAAAATCTATATCTTTTAATTTTGCAAAACTATAGTAAATTTTTTACCAAATTCAATGGCATTCGTTTGAATAATCAACACCTACATATTATTATTGGGATATCATTTTATTCAATTACTTTGTATGATACAACCTTTCTATAATATCCTTTTACTTGTAATGAAAGTGCAATTTAAATAAATAAAAACAGAAACACATACAATCTATATTATGTGGTTGATGCATAACAAAACTACTTGTATAACAGAACGAAAAAAAAAGGATTTCTCTCACCTTGAATAACATGAAGTGCCCTTTGTTTTAATTTAAACATTTTCATATCCTTTGTATTTTCAGTCAAAAAATTCATTATTAATTCATTTTCAGAAATATTAAATTCTTCAAGGATATCATCAATGGTATATATATCTTTGGTTAATTCATTCAATATCAATTGTTCTAATTCATAAAGGTTGCATTGTAATAGATTTTGTAAATGTATAAATTTTGTAATATCTTTCCAATTATTAAAATTACAACGTTTCGCTAATATACGGCACGACAAACGGCATTCAATAACTCTTTCATTAAAATCTGATGTTGCAGCTTTATTAATTTGTGTTAAACTATTTGCAACAACAAAATATGCATTATCTGGTAATTTAACTGATGTTGCATTTAATTCTGGATGAAATTCAATAAATTGTGCACAACCTTTTTTAGCTAAAAATGCAATTGCTTGATCCATACCACCACCTTGTGTACCAATATAACGTTCACATTTTGCTGCAATCGATGCTAATAAATTTTTATTAAGATTTACTTTATAAATGAATGCCATTGTTAATGTTGCTGCACTAACTAATGCACTAGAACTTGATAGACCAGCTGCTGGTGGTACATTACCATTTATAACAATTGACATACCAAAATTTGTTGGTAGTACGTTATTCAAATGATCAAGTATTCCTTTAATACCACATAAAAAGTAATTATACCATTGTGGACTTCCGGATGATGGTAAATCAATTCTAGCATAAATAGATAAACAATAAAAATTAATTATTAATAATATCGTAATATTAAATTTTTTGTTAAAAAAAATGTATAATATTTAAATTACGCGTTATAGAAATAAAAAATAGGTCAAATTAAAATCTTATCGGAAATATTTTTCAATGAAATTATAAAGTCTATAATTAATTAATTAAAGTTTTGTAACTATAAGTGTATGAGGTCAAGTGATTTACGTTAATTATCTAAAACAATTTAACCACTTGTATTTAATAGTTTATTACAATTGCGGTTTTATAAGGACATATTGTTTAAGAGGTCTTTAAAACTATAATTGAGATAAAAATATCTTGAAACTTAATGAAATTCAATTAAATTTTAAATTGTATAACTTTGATTACATCTGGATTTTATTCAACATTCAATTTAAATTCATTTATGTAATTAAAACTCAAAATTCCTTCAAACCAAAATTTAACATTGAACTTTTGGAATTTTTAAGAAAAATTTAAAACTAAGTTCGGAAAGAGTAAGTGTATTTTAACTATACTTAATTTATGAAAAACCTACTAATCCCAATCTACTTGAAATTTCTTACATCGTATATTTAAGAATTTAAACATTATTTTAGTTAAGGCTACTTTAGAATTAATTAAAGATAATATTTTAGAATATCTTTAATTAATTCTTATATCTTTAAAGAGATTAAACGAATAATGTTTATGGGAAAATTACATTTAATTGCAAACAAAACCTTATCTTATAGTTACAATGTATCATTTTTTACATAAACAGTAATCTGAAAAAAAAAAGTTACAATTAATTCTAGTTTCCTTGACATGAATGCTCACATATGTATGTAAAGTGGACTTTGACCAATATTTGACCTTATTTTTTAAAAATTGAATACTTTACCTGACTGATTTCATTTCACATTTATAGTTTCCATATTTTTTATCTGAATTTTTTAAATGTAAAAATCCTTCAATATTTTTTGAAGCTGCCAATAAGATACATTGTTCCAATGCCATTGGTAAAACTGGATAACCACAATAGTCAATATGTTCACCAATAATATTTACTCTGTAAAATAGAAAATAATAAGTAAGTATTTTTAAAAATTTTAAAACAAAGAAAATATCTGTTAAAAATATAGTAAATTGTTGCAATAAAGTAAATTTATTTTAATTATTTTAATATAAAAGTATTAAACTAGAATACCGAATGTAAATGTTGTTATACCAGGAAATATTGTTTATAGTATAACGCTTAAGATACATAATACGACCGCAAAAGTTAAATCAGAATTATTCCTAAAAAGGGCAAGAATATTCTCTACTTAACTCATAGAATAGTCTCATAAATTAAATATGACGAATTGAGCATTTAGTGTTACTTTTAGAACTGCACGTTTTGGATACAATCAAATTGAATACAGAAATTCGATTAAATTTCTATAACCACATAAAAGGTGGTACCTACTTAATACAAAATCTTAAAATTCATTCTTATCTCATATGCATACTTTTTCAACTCCAATAACTTTATTTCGAATGAAAATAATTCATAAGGAAACTTCCTCATATTCAGTAAAGAATTTTAAGTTTGGAAATTGATTTTATTCAGAGCATAACAGAACTTTTGAACTCATCACGTCACCAAGTCGTTCGACAAATATAATCTTCTTATGATGTACTTATATTTTTATGAAATTCATTTTATATGAATCCAACAGTTGTGGAGTTCGACGGTCAATTCCTACCATCAAACAAATCTTTAACAAAACAAAATTGCTAGATAGGTTTATTTTAACTTACTTGCAATAAAATATCATTAAAAAAAAAAAAAAATATGAATCCAATATTACGAATTAAATTTAAAATCTAAAAGTAAATTTACAATCTAATTGTATTTTCTGATACCAAAGTATTCTAGATTATAAATTAATTCATTTCAATAGTAACTATTTTAATAACATATGAACATATTATTCGTAAATTATACACAATGAAAAAGCGGCCCCACGTTCTTTCACAATACGATGTGTGCTTCTAATACATATATTTTGAGTAACTATGTGCGTATGTATATAAAATACTATAAATTTCAAATTTTTCATAATTAATACTGCTGTTTCAGAAGTAAATACATATGTGTCTCAAATTGCAATTGCATTTCTTCGGTACTTGCACATTTATATGTATGTGGAACATATTTACATAACTATAAGCCATTGTACATCTTTTAAAAAGTACTCCTTTTAAATTGTTATCAGAATTTGATAGGAGTATTGTCTTTTATGGTTACTTTGTTTGCAAATTCCGTTATGCTATAATCGTCTATTTATTCCAAATTTTACACACTATTTCTAAAATCACAAAATCCTAATGTTTAATAAATTTAAAATTTATTAAATGAATTTTATTTAATTTGTAAAATTTTCTTACCTTCCAGGAACTTTAACAAAAAATTCTGGTTCATGTCCATACTCATTTTCAAAGAAATCTTTTATAGATTCTAAACGTTTTAAAAATATTTCATCTTTTATTTTTAATAAATCTTTATAATCTAATATTGTTACATTATTATTGTTATTTGTTGATTGAAATGAATCAATATTTCCATTACCATTTGAATTAGACATTTTGATTACTTATATTTGTTTCAGTTTCTTGTTGATAAATTTCTAAAATTTTTATTTATAAAGTTGTGTTCAGCTTTTTTCATAAAATTTGAATTTTTGAATTCCAAATTTTGTTTTAAAAATACAAAAAAAGCTTTTTTATGTAAAAACTTTTCTCAAAATTTCTTTTATTGTATTCACAATTCACCTTGATATTTTGTAATAGAAAAAAATTTCGTTTGAATGCGCATAACCTTTTATCCAAGTTTTTGAATATTGTGAATGAATGACATGACAATTACCGCAATGACAAGAAAAGGGATGAAGAAATTTTGGAATGTTTTTTTGTTTTGTTTTTATTTATTCAATATTGTCATTTCAAAATGTCAAAATTTTTTGTTTATATATTTTATTTATTTACATAATAAACATATGTTTGTATGGAAATCTAAAAAACATAAAAAAAAAAAGAAAACGTGCACAAAAAAATTTTTATCATAAAATTTTGTAAGAAAAAAGCACTTTGTTTTTTATTATTATTATTATTTTTTTTATTGTTAACCTGATTTGATAATAAATTTTTCTTTTAAGTAGGTAGATATTTATGTATGTATGTTTTATTTCTATTTAATCACCTTTTAAACACAATAAACCGAACATGTTTCAATAAAAATTTTTTTTAACCTTCAAAATGTATGAGGAACGGGATTTTTTTTTTTTTTTTATTCAAATTCAATTTTGTTTTTCTTTTTTTTTTATTTTGGAAATCATTAATTAACTTTATATTATTCCATTTTTAAAACTATTATTATCTAACTGGTCTAGCATGCATTTAAAATTGCCTTACATACTTATGAACTATACAATACAACTAACTAGAATTTATATTTGAAAGTTCTCACAAATTAAAACTGGAATTTATTAGGAATTTTAACAAAAAAAAATAAAATTTAAATTGTATTCTGAATAAAATAGTCTGAATGGTGTGAAAAATCGATTAGCTAGATGTCTACTCGCATTGTCTTCTCAAAAAAAAATTTAGCCAAAAAATTTTAAATTAAAATTTTAAACAAGATTTAGGACCACCTATACCTAGTTCTTATTGAATACATGAATTAAATTTATTTCAGATATTTACTCAACTGTTTAATATTTTTAACAATTAGCGACAAAATTATCACCTATTTATTAGAATTTTAATTCTTTTAGCACTTTCTCTATTTTTTTTTATAGGAATATAATATGTACGTATAGAAACCTATGTGTATCTAGATACACAATAGAAATTAAAGCTCTTTTATTTTACAATTTTAATTTTTAGAAAACAATTTTTAATATCTTCACCTCCTCTACCTCCTGCCAGGTAGGTATCTACCTAGATACACATATGTATGTACAAATTAATTTTTATTTTTGAATTTTCATAAACTTTTAACTTAATTTTAATTTATGACTTTTTACACAACACATTTTATTTAAATTGTAATTTTCCAAAGAGCAGCCATAAATAACACCATTAAAATTAATTTAAAAAAAAATCAATGATTCATAAAAAAAAATTAATAATCATCCTTATGCTTGTAGGTTTGTTTTAATAATGTGATGCACGTGACGTTAAATAAGGTAATACATACAGTAGAATTCTAATAATTGCACGTTACAAATTCTCAAGTTATCAGAGATATGAACCGATATAAATCAAAAAAAAAATCAAAAATGATCCTATTTGCATAGCAGCCTCAAGAGTACTTGAAGCATATTTTATGTCCATTTTAAAGTTATTTGACTTGTAACCGGGTTAACTCTAATGAGTCAAATATTTTACTTACTTGACTTGAAATGTAACAGCCAAACATCATTTTCGGGTTTGCAAATTGACATATGTATTAAAAATGCGCCTTAAGTTTCGAGCCCATTTCAAGTCAAGAATTCAAGCTGCCATATAAACGAGATAATTCTTACAATAAGAAGTAGTAGTAAGATAGAATAAAAATATTTTAATTGTACGACTTGACATAAACCACAAACTGTACCAATAATAAAATCTCATCAAAACATTAGTATATGTGTACCGAAACTTATTATTTTTGAAGCTGTCAAAATTAATATTATCAATTTTTCTATGCAATGTGGGTATAGTCGCAATATCGTAATCGCTATATTTAATTACTTGAATTCTACTGTAAAGGCGGCTGGTATTATGTTTCATATTGTATTTGAATAGGGACCCAGATATTTATCTCAGATTAGATTAAAATAATGAAAACGTGTCAAATAAACAACTTTTTTTTTGCGATTAAACTTTTTACATCTGCCTAAAAAACGTTAATCGCCATATATATGTTGTGTATGTCTATATATGTAGGCACTCAAATTACAAATTTCCTACCTACAAAATAACAAAATCAAAATTTAATTGCTAAAAATCAGAAACCGCAAAAATAATTAGAAAAAATGATAATAAAAATGTTAAAAACATTTAAAATAACAAAAATAATAACAAAAAAAGCCCAAACGATTAACGAACAGCGAAATTATGAAGCAGCTGATAAGCGCTTTTTTTTAACGTAGGGAGAATGTTCTTTGCTCTTTCAATTTGATTATTTTGCTTGTTTATTCTTATTTTCGTGAACTGCGATAAAAAAGAAATTGCGAATGAAGAAAACAGTTGCACAAATAATGTATACAAGTATGTGTTCATGTATATACGTATGAATGTTTGTTTCCACTCTACGTCCACCTAAATAAAGATGTTTTGATACATAAATATAAATTTATTGAGAGAAAGAGTGAGAATTTCACTTTAAATAAAATTTAATGCCTCTGTTTAATCTTAAAGTCTATTCACTGCTTTTAAATTTTATTCTAATGCACAAACAACAGAACTTACACTTATACACTCATACATTGACACGTTTTTTATAGTACTATTTTTAATTTTTTTATGTGATTTTTAAGAACTTAACTGCATCTATGTATATTATTTTCTATTCAAGAACATACTATATATACACATATATTAATAACGGTAACTGCATAATATACTTATATAGATTTAATTATTATTTTATTGGAATGATAAATGAATTTGAAATTTTAATATTTTATTTAAATATAATTTTTATTTTAAAACTTTTTAAAAAAGATAAAATTAAAAAAAATATATATAAAATTGATAACACGAAATCATCGACAACGCACGCACTCTAACCGCTACGAACTGACGACGTTAGCGTATTGACGAAATGTATAAAACTAAAAAATTTTACAGTACTATTTGAGTAAGAGACTAAGAGTACCTACCTACCAATATGTATATACATAAAATGAAAATAATATAAAACCTACATATATAACAGTATTAATTATAAATAGGTACACAACTGAATATAAATATAAGTTCATAAAAATATGAATATAGAAAAAGTTTGAAGACGCAACAAAAATATACCAACAATAATATATAAGTACATACAAATATACATACATAACGTTGTACGTTAACGTTGCTATAATAAAAATCAAAAAAGTTTTCAACTTAGAAGAAAATCTTTCAAAGTTTGAAATATATGTATGTGCATATTTATATTTATATCGTATATAATAATGCATTGTATACAGACTGTAAGCTAGAAAAAGAAAGAAAAAATATAATGGTGAATAAAGGAAGATATTAATTTAGTTCGCTAAATAAAGTTATAGGGTACAAAACATAAATTATAAGAAAATTTGAACTCAATTCGAATTTGTCTCGTAAAAATTAAGTACCTTTTTGTTTTTAAAGTAGCAGTACTATAACAACTTGTAAGCTGAATTGTGCTGTTGCAGTATCATTGTACTTTTGAAGTCAGGGTAATATTCTATAAATTACATAAGAAAATAATACAAACCGTTTTCAGCTATTGGTCATCCGTTATACATTATTTTTTTTATCTGTTGAAAACCTCCACTCATTTAACGCCCACTCTCCTAATTCTTGCTCTATGAACTCTTTCTATCTTTATTTAAACTTATATATAAGAATAATAATTTCTTTAGATAATCTATCGTTAATATTTTGAACTAATATATAAAGCTTTTGTGTTAAAATAGTTAAAATAAAAAATTGTAATTTGATTTAGAATTAGTTACTTTAATTCTCTTTAACTGAGATTGTCTAATTTAGAACCAAAAAATTAAATTTTCTAAAAAACACACTTGCAAAATTCATTTAGTATTTATAAGGAAAAAACTTATAAATTCTGAATAGTTCACATTTTACATATTAATGTTACAAATGAATTGTGAAATTTAGCATACGCAACTACTATGTTCATGCGAATATAAAAATAAACATCAAAAACATAATATTTAATGTATACATACGAACATAATATATACAATAATACTACAAAGTACTAAAATTTATAATACATGCATATTTCCGTACAGATAACATATTTCTTAATATTTAATGGCAGGGGTCTTCATATTTTTATATTAAATATTTTTACGGTATCTGCTACAAAATTAATTAATTAAAATTTTCATATTTTGACATTTGAATAGTGAAGTCTGTAATGCACTAATAATATGGACTGAAATATAGTCTTAAATAGTTTCATTTAAAGAATATCATCTAACATTATCTTGGTATATCTAGCAATAATTTCATGACCCCGTTTTTTTTTAAACTTTCACGCTCAACTTTCGTACTATATCATTTAATATTCTTAGGCTTATAGAAATTATGTAAGTTTTTGAAGTAAAATTTCAAATAATCTTTATGTCAAGTTTGAAGCTTCACAATTTTTTAAAGAATGAAAGGAAATGAAACAACCCTGCAACATTAAAATTTTTAGTACTGTGTAAAATTTGTTTTTCCTTTTTATTATTGCTTGTGCTATCTTGTCTCTAATATAAGGTCAACTACCATGTTTTGATTCATTTTTAGTACATTCTTTTATGCTTTTATTTTAGTATGTGCACCATTTAATGTTAATACCTAAATCTCGTTTTCTTAATGATCGCTTCATCATCTTTTTAATTGTCTTTTCTATACAATTTCTAACAAAATC